TTCTACGGGATTAAATCCGCGCGAAGAAAAGCCACAATGACTACGAGGACGACGGAACAGTGTCGAATGTGTAATCAAGGGTTGCAATTTTACAATATACCCTCCGAAGTATCCAACGGTATGGACAGTTATACTTTCGTGAAGAGCCCGAGGGCGATATTGCATATACAGAAGAAATACAGACATCCTCCCATGTGAGTAGAATCTGTTTATGATATACATTGTCAGAGATAATCAATATTAATGTAAGTGTATTGTATAGGGGGAATCTTAGATAATAATCCTAGATAATAACTTGGCAAGCATCGATAAATTTAATTTTCTATTATAAATTAACAATCTCATTGATAAAATCAATTAATAGAATTATATTTATATCACTGTTATAAATATGATTTAGTTGGTAAGAAGAGATAAAAACAACAAAGAACTCATTGTAAAAATATAATCCAGTTTTCTCGAGATAACTAATTTCTAATTTAAAGTAACTTAAAGTAACTTATCTCGAAATTACTCAAGTTAATTCGAGGTTAATTATCCTGTAGTCAGGGTAAACCTCTAAGGTAAAAGTATCACTACCTAGACACGTATTTAACTTCGAAATGTCATTGTATATATTATAATACAGTTATTATATTTATTTATTATATTACTTATTGTAATACAAATATTTAAAGACTAAAACAATAAGAATGTTAGGTACGTGTCCAAGCATTGGTACCTTTATTCTTCCGATAACAAAGGCACAAAAATTGCCATTAGACAGTAATGATACAATTATGAGCCAATGATGCGCTATTAATAAACGCGTTTTTTCTATATATATTTAATTTTTTCATGTATATCACATTTACATGTTATTGACGCAACAAGTATCCTTGTAAACCTGTATGCTCTGTTTAACGATCTTGCGCAATTACACGCCCTAATCACATACCCTGAATTAATGATTCCAAACATACCCTGAATTAATGATTCCAAACATTGTACACGTATATGATACGAATAACACGGATTATGTACACCTCTTTACTTCTTTACCTCAAAGCACATTCTGCATATTTAACATCGTGCCCAGCTCACAAGAATGTGTGAACTTCCAACTTTATGAGGGGATATATACAGATGTTAAAATTAGAATATTATCCCTATTTTCCCTGTGTTTTTTATATAATTTCTATTCACTTTTATCAGTAATGCTAGTGTATCGCTTGTGTATCCACGACGTATCCACACAAAAATCCCGACAAATTTCTATTAAAGTAGAGCTTCCAAAGTGACAACTTCGGTTAGTCATCGAACCGCAGAAAGCAAGCTGTCACTGTGTCGATAATAAATTCATTAATTCCTCCGATAAACGATAAGCTTTGACGGTTTTATTTGTTTAGCCGATAGAAATTCTGAAAACTGCTTTAGTGTAAGAGCTTTAGTGTAAGAGAAAATTGCAATAACTGGAAAAGCGCGCGGCACATCGATAATGCAACAGTCGCTCATTGTCGGTATATAGATTACGTTGCTTATAGACGACAAAAGGGAATGACCGCAGCAGTTGATTTTATCGCCGACTGTTATTGTACACGAAAGAATACAGAGTGTGATGCTATGTATTCGCTTTTCACGCGATTTCTACTTCTATCGAGAGAGAGTATTGTACAGTATCGTCGGCTAAAATGGCCCTTCTGCGAAAACACAACTCGAGTAATGTTCTCATTAACGAATTCCATGGAAATGTGATGTAACGGTATGCTGAAGACAGCATGTTATGCGAATCTAAACGTAGACATAAGAGTGCACATTAACCGAAAGAAAATAATATCGTTGAGTGACACATTTTACGATAAATCTTACATTGAAGAATTATTTAACGAATGAAAGTATAGGCAAGCATTATTTTACTATAGCTTATGGGAAAAAAAGTTTGGTTGAATTAATCAAATTTCTGGTAAAATATAAACGAACCAGAAAGTTCCGGTTGAGGTTGTAAGAATTCTGTTCATGTTAATAAGATTCTGGCAACTTCAATTGGAATTTTCTGGCTCGTTCATATTTATTTCACTAAAAATTTGGTTAATCCAACCAAACGTTTTTTCTTCCATACTGAAGGTAACAATAAGTTAAACAATCATCGACACAAAAGTGGCAAATGTCATGAAAAGCATACACAGAGGCGACCTACATGCACACTGTTCGCCGTTCCGCAAAGCTGACACACAGCGCAACCTTGTTAAAGAAAGTTCCTGATTGTTCGCTCCTATTCTTAGCATTAAGTCCCCTTCTCGCGTACTTCATAATAAAATAATCCATGAGTGTTATTGATTAGAATAAAGCGACGCATGCTTTATGTTATATTCGAAGGCGGCAATCGATCATGGATTAATATTAACAACCGTCCACACACACATACACCAACCTTAAATGAAAACGTCAATTCCTTATAAAACAATTAAGAGATCGATCACGATGAATCGGCGCGTCATTCAAGGGAATCGTGACATCGCACAAAACCGCCCTCGATTTCAACCGGCGAGCGAAGGAAATGAAAAAAAAAACGCCCTACAAATTCGTGCGCGTAGGTGTCCCACTTACTTTATCGTCTCGCCGACAGCGAGAATTCGCGTCTCACTGACGTGTATAATCGCACGCGACGTTCGATGCAGAACACGTTGAGAACCTGAGGAGAATTTTTTCAAGGATATACGCAGCGTATTAATATTAATAATGCAAAATCCAGCTACGATGAAAATTCATATCTTTCACCCAACTGTGTGTGATCGACTTAATTCCACACATTACATTTAAATAAAAACTAATTAATGTAATTTCTTGTTAATCCGACACACGATCAGTTAACAGGGAACAAACCTTTTCTTCTGTCGGAGTTTTCTGAATAAGTGTGCAAGTGACTGATTGCAAGAAGCCGATGAAGAGATAACCACACACTATTATTGGCGGTCGTAACTACAGTACTCTGTAGAGCACTATTTACGATACGGTTCGCGTATAGATCGACCAATCACGCAATTACGATCATGCAAGGACAAAAACTATTCCTCGCCTACAAATCCGTCGACAAATTCGCGCTCGTTTTCCGTTTATCGTTTTCTCGATCGGTCAACTCGCCCTAAATCAATATTTTCTCAGAATATATCAAGAGCTCGACTAAGATAATATCATCTGGAAATCTGGACATTACAACAGTAACAACAATAACAATAGTAACAACAATAACAACAACAGTAACAGTACAATAACAGTAGCAACAACAACATTCGGATTTGATAAACAATTGAAATTCGTGTAAGCAGCAATCTTCATAGGATCTTGTTCAACAATACGTTATTCAGCCATTTCTGTTAGCTGAGAAAATAGAGTTTATGGCTGGATTAATAAATGTAATGTACATAAATGTCGGACGTGATATATTCCCAAGTAACACGAAATTGTCGCAGATCAATGCGATACGTGTGATCTCTAAAGTGATCTCTAAAGTACGATGAAGTAATGTTTTTCTCGGAGAAAATATAGTTTTCTTTTTCATATAATTTTTTCTCAATTTTACTATGTTTCTAATAATTCAGGAACAGACTGTCACTATACATAGCAAAATACTGCATTTAAATAAATGTTACTTATTTTAAATATTACACAAATTTATATTTCCGCAATTCTATCATAAGTATCGAATTTGTTCAAAATACATTCTGAATTCTAATAAGATCAGCATTTCAATTAAGAATATTATATTAAAATTATGTCATAACATTATTAATACAAAAATTATTATCAAAATTATCACACTAAAACCAAATTTTAGTTTGTGTGACTACACAGAATCGAACCAACTTTTTCTTTGATCAAATTTTATAATATTCTTGTAAAGAGTAATAAATAAATGTAATAAATTCTTTTTTTGATAATGATTTACAAAACAAAAAGTTTTGTTAAAATTTATGATGAGTACATTTTAAGACTATTACACCGAGAGAAAATATTTAAAAAAATAATCATTACTTCAAAGAAAAAAAATAAACTAATAACTTTTCTTAACGATAACATAATATTTTCCTTTGTATGAAGTCTCTCTTACTAAGGTATATAGCAAATTTCGCTAGAAACAAAAGTTTTTTAATAGCGCACTTCAAATTTCTAAAAATATAAACAGTACATATGTACACATAAGTAGCACATGAAAGCATAATCAATTATTGCAGAATATCGATCTATTCCTCGATTATAAAATTCCATAATAATTTTTACTATAAAATTCTCCGTGTGGCATTACGTGACAAACAAGTAACAGCCAAGCTGTCTCTTGTACAGACGCATTTCAAAGTCGAATTTCCATGCGCGTTATTTGCATAAGTCGTACGGTAACAAAATGCCTTACTCATCTCATAATTCATTTTCCACCTACGTCCTATCGCGTGTGCACACTTGCATTAATAAATAACTAGCCGCATATATTTCTGCTACCGCTACCATACCGAAGTGATCGCCTATATCTCCGAGAGGGTGGCCAGCAAAGGAACATCAACAACACAGCTGTTCGAGCGACTTTAACCTTTTTAGAAGCGCGCTTTTCGCTTCAATTAATTAATGAGACGAGAAGAGGGAAAGCGAAAAACAAGAAAAGAATAAAGTCTCACGCGAGCGGTTCGATTCGCGGGTCGTTATCGAAAGCGTGAATCAACTCGTGCGAGCGTCAAACCGGGCGACTTCCGCAGCAATCCTACGCGATCAAACGTGTCGTTTCACCTTGAAGTGTTGCTAGGGTTAGAAGTTCCCCGGACAGATTGTTCCCTAGACGGGTGTATGTGGTGGCGGAGCTCAACTATACTCACCCTTCGCTGGTGGACTTAGGCATGCGCAACATTCGCGGTGGTCAGCGTTATTGAGTGGCCGGGTGAAAATATACGTGCAACATGACTGCGTTCTATATCGGTCGATTCTAAGGACATTGTCCAGTCTCTGAACTCGCCCGGTCAGTAATGCCGCGGCGACACTCAGCGACGTACGATCACGACGTTTTCCATCCACGAGCTTCCGCGACCAGCAGAACCGCCAGTTTGGCGCCAATTTCGTACAGTACGTATTAACGTGTTAAGAAGATTAACGAGATTGAACGCGATCGATATAACACCAAGGAGTTTCGATCACCGGTACTGTTGACGCGCGAGCGAATTTTTAGTGCTTATTTTGCCGCGTGTACACCTGTGACGATTGGTTTGAGGTGCGTTTTGCGCGTTTCTAGCTGTTATTCACGTTAAATATTATGTAAAAAATGATTCAAAGTGAAACTCGACTGTTTTTACATGGAATAATATCTAGACAGTAGCATCGCGTTACAAATATTCGTCTCCGTATTTCATGAGACTTAATCGAATTTTTAAAAATTATTTATATATACTACACATTTAAAAAATTATTTATTATATATTATACATATTAAGAGAAAACAATATCTGAAAAATAGGAAATATTTATTCGATGTGAGTGATTATAACACATTTAATCGTAATAATTATCTTGTATGTACATATTTTTACATTACATAAATATTTTTTTAACATCGTTTCTTTTCACGAAAGCAATTGTTTATACTATTCAAATAAAAGAATTAATTAAATACGTTATTAATACTTATTGAATGTTTTTTAATTTTCAGATATTATTTTCCCTCATATTATAGATACTATTTTTTTTTAACGTGATGTATTTTCGTGAATATTAAGTATCGCGAACTTGTTGTTCACATTCTGCAATTGAGCGAGCTTGCTCGCAATTTGGTCTCGTGACTTTGTCAGTGAATAATTAAGCAAATAATTACGGGCGCCACGCTGCGTCTCAGCGACTCCGCTGCTGATCGTGTATCGGCTGTTTTCACTTGGCGAACGATCGATGAACGATGAGTAGACGGTAATTGCTCCTCCTGTGATTGGTATAATTATCCACCTTTGCGCATACTGATTTATATTGATTGAAACCAAATCGAATAAAAGAAAATGGAGAAGTATGAGAGTAAGAAAAGCTGAAATTTTAAAGGGGTGCCGAAAGATTAAACACATCGCGCAATCCCGATCATCAGCGATCGATTCACCATGTCCGCCGTAAAATCGAGTACCTGAAGAAATCGGAAGGATGCCAGCCGGCATTTCCGCTTTGGCGCCGTCGACAGACGCAGGTTCTTTCAACCATGAGGCGAAGAATTCTTCGGCCTTCACGATCCTGCAAAAGGATGGACTGGACTCGAGCCTACCACTCCTCCACATCAACGAAGAGAACGAGATGAGTGCGTCGCGATTCACCAAGCTGGAGAACATGAAGAACGATCTCTACACTCGCAGGCGCATCAGCAAGTCGAACGATCACCTGGTCCTCGCTAGTTTACAATCAAATCAAGTGAATCCGTTGCGAAAGAAACATCAGAGTAAGAGTCAAGACAGCCTGAGCGCCGAGGAGAGACCGCCCACGACTAGAACCAACATCGCCCTGTCGACGGAGGATTTCAACGAAGTGCTCAATGCTAAACTGAAGAAGATCCAAGAGCAAGCCGAGGCCGATCAGAATCGCAGGTCATCGAAGAAATCGATTCTGCCACAGAAGAAGCCATTTATCACGACCGTGAAAACCGGTGAATTCCTAATGCCGCCGCCGGAAGTGGCGGCCCTCCTCGGCATTGCGCCGAATGGAAACGACGAGGAGACGGCGGCGGCGTCGACGGCGATAGCGGACGGATGTCCGTTGAAGACCAAGTTCAAGTCTCTGGTGTCGCTGGCCAAGAGGCCGGAAGTACGTCACAGCAGCCACAACGCGAGATGCCCGGCCGCCCTCAAGGCCACCGTGGACTTCTCCCTCGGCATGATGAACGCTACCACGATCGCCGCCTCGACCTTGGACGACCGGGCGAGGAGGTTCAAAAGAAGCGAGCCGGCGTAAGTGACGCTGCGTGACGTAGCACGGTCGCGTTATAAACGGGTGTCCCGCTGTTCAATTGGCATGTCGGTGTCGTACTTGCTTCTTATGGTCAGGGGCGGATCTACCGGCCCATCAATAACGCAGATATGTTTATTTCGCTGGGGGTCGTGACGACGCGAGCCATGCGGTAACGAGCCAAAAGATATCTAATCAACCACTTTATTACGCGGATATCTATTGTATCCGGAAGAAAGGAACGTTGATTCGCTATCTATGTCGTCTCTTACCGCGCGACACGCGTTTTCACTTGCGGGAGTCATTACTCTGCTGGAGTAAAATCTCTGATTTCCTATTGTTTAATGGTATGTTCGAAACTTATTAATCCTAATACGGTTGCTACCACGTGCCGCACACGTGTGACGTATTGATCCTCACTAGGGACGGACGTCACGTATGTATAGCAGGTATAATTTACCATTCTATGTCTATATATACAAATTATACGGAGAAAATATTGTAGTAAAAATTATGTCAATACTATATTTTTTTACAATGTTGTTGGTAAAATTGAACTATAAATTGTAAAGCTGAACTGAAATTTAAGTGTGTAAATTACTATAGAAATAGTAAATTTGACGATCTACACCTGGTATTATATATGACATAGAAAACACTCAAATAATTGCAAAATTTGGTGGTAAAATAAATGAATTAAATAATTTTGTAGTAAAAAGTCAAACGTACATAACATTTGTAAATAAAAACATAATAATTGTTAATAATAATATAATAATTATAATTCTGTCCAATAACAGTCCAAGATTACAACAAACTTTATAAGTTTTACTACAATATATTTATCTACTACTTACTTCCACTATTTCTACTATTACGTATTTCCACTCACTTCTAATCTAATTATTTACTACAATATTATTTAAAGAAAAATAAACGTTTCCCGGATAAACAGTGGTAGCGATCGTGTTGATATTCAGGAATCGTGAAAAGGAAAGGGGAAATCCGCCCCTGCGTCTACTGGATTTATTTCGCACTTGCGAAGCGGCGATGCAACATTGGGTCTTTTCGCGGATCTTGCGTCTCTTTCACACTGTCGCCGTCGAGAACCCATCGTTCGAGGCTACATAGGCGTTTTGGCTGGAATACGATCGATTGAATTTTCCAAAAGAAGCGAGAAGATCCTCCGTCGTTGGTACATTCGTATTTGAATGTGTGAAGGGCGTTTTTCTGTCCACATTTCCGCAAATCCGCGGATGTGCTCGGGATTAAAGCGCGTGAATAAAGATAACGAAGCGAGGCACACGAGGGGATAAGGGCGTATAAGAAGAGGGGGAATTGTTTTTCTAGCAGATTCCCGCAGGCGTCGCGAGCTTTACCAAAAAAGTTGGATCCGATCGAGGGCATGATGAATGCGCTGCCGAGGCTCCGCGGGTAACAAAAACACCTTACAAGTGGCACCACACTTATCACTGGTCTTTAGTTGATAGCAGCTGTTTTCTCCGCTTTTCATTCTTTTCCTATTCTTTTCCTTTCGTCCCCGACCCGATTTATTCTCGTTCGCGTGCGGTCACAGTTTAGTCTCTCTGTAGGCCGTTGTCGCTCCTGGTGCACCGCGTCCTCCGATGTTCACAGAACGAAATTGACTGATGCGGTTATTCTCGTACAATAATAATACTCCCTCTCTCACATCAAGATTTGTCCTTTTATCACTAATCGTTATCCTGCTTAATATAATTCGATAAAAAAAATATGCACGTCTTCCGAACAAAAACTATTGAGCCTACTGCTATGGTAATTTTATTATTACATTGATAAAGTGGGAGGACTGTTGATTTCAGAAATATATAGAAATCTACTTGGGCGTATGTAGAATAAATCAAACGTATTATTTACGGAAAAGCTGTTAAGTTTTTATTAGAACAATAATGTTACGCCAATAATATTGTCTCGATCGTTATCAAAAAAAATTGTCGTAAAGCAAATTCACGCATACTCTGGTCTTAGTATTTTATTTATGCATGTGTCTAAAATACACGCCTTACCGGTATGATCGATAGATAAATTATATTTATCTGTCATAGATATAATTCTTGGTAAGATTAATATAATAATATAATATTTTTTAATAATTTTACTTTATAGGAAATTATACTTTATAGGAAAAATAAACAGACTATTCTATGTACACATTAATAGCAGTCGACGAAACACTGGCTAAATTCCCTATACAGTGAAATTATATTTCAATTATCTAGATTAACAAATCGGCAGAATGAATAGCACAAACAGTTCTGCTGTTTCGATTAAGAAGATTCAAATAAACTGTGAAATAAATGTAATTACTTAAGCGGGAAAGTGTCTCGAGAGAAATTGTTTAATATAATTTAAGATTTGATCGAGATTAATTAACAATTAAGTATGTCAAAGATACATGTGGATTTTGTATATATTATTAATTGAAAAAAAAATTAATTTTATTGCAAAATTGATCGATGCTTGCCCAAGAGCGACGGGTCTCGCAACAATCACTCAGTGTATTGACTTTGCTGTGAGCTTTTCTCGGATTTGTTTACGCGCATTACCGTTAACTTCCTACCTACTCGTCAGGCAGTGTCATCATTATTTTATCGTTCAGTTGATCGTTGTTTTGCAGTGATCAACCGGTTCCGTTTAGGAACATCATGTTTGATCACCGCGTGGCTCGTGGAACTACGTGTGCTTCCGTACCTGCTCTCGTAAGTATACCATACGCTACTTCCCAAAAGTAGGGTGCGATTCATGGTTGCAGTTTTCTCACAGTAATCGTATCTACGCAGATCGATGGTGAACAATCGATCGCAGCGAGGCAAGCGGAAGCGAGGCGAAGACATTTGGCGCGAAAGCGCGCTCAAGCGCAAACCACCAAAGCGCTTGTCATGAGAATCGGCTCGCCACCACCGGTTCCTGGCAGGAAACACGAACCAGTGCAGACAGAGGTCTTTCTCGAAGAGGTTAATTAAAATTCTTATCTTTAGATCCGTATAAAAAAAAATTAATTCTCAAGATTCTCGTAATTACAATCTCAATTATCAATTTTCTTAATACGCTTATTATAAACTAGACTAAGCTGAACTTTAATTTCGACACGTTACGCATTCAAGCTGGCAGAGAAGCCGGACGAATCTGAAGTGGCCACGCAAACCGACTACTTTGCGGAGAAACCGGTGACGCCGCGGTATTGCCCGCCCAAGACTGGCCAAGACGCCTGCACTCAGATCGAGCCCGGAGAGGTAGGTATTGAGGTATTGAGGAATTGAGGTATTGAGCACGTAATTAGAATATTACATGAAAAAAAGAGTTTGCTGCGGTAATAAGAATCTGTCTGTGGTAATCTAAATTTCCTTGTAACATATAGGTATCTAAAAATACAGCAATAGGCGTTACAATAGTTGAAACGGATGTAACAAAAGTAACAAAAGTTTTAGTTATAGCAACAAATACATAGCGACATAGTTTTTTAGCAAAACCATAATTAGTTGCAGCAGTGAAATCCTTTTTTTCCGTGTAAAATCACAATAAAGTGAATTTTACTACGATATTTTCAGCTTTTCGACTATGATATCGAAGTTCAGCCTATTCTCGAGGTATTAGTAGGAAAAACCATTGAGCAAGCCCTGATTGAGGTTTTAGAAGAAGAAGAAATTGCTGCTCTCAAGGAACAGCAAAGAAGGTTCCTCGAATTGCGCGATGCTGAGAAAGCTGAAGAGCAACGATTATCAGAACAGGACAGAAGACTCAGAGAAGAAAAGGTATGAATCTCGCTGACTCTTTATTATTAATATCTTCGCTTTATAAAGCTCTTGTTGATATTTCTTTTACATTATCGTAGATTGATACAAGGTTTTATATACTTATCGTGCCGGAAAGGTTAAATAGCAAATTCGTTTTTAATCCGTAGGATCAACGCCTGAAACAACAGGATGAGGCGATGAAGGTCCAACAGGAAACCGAGGAACGCGTCGCGGCGGCGGTATTGTTAACGGGATACATCGCCGAACTCTTACCCGCGGTTCTCGAAAGCCTGAAGATGTCTGGCTATTTATTGGACGAGATCAAGGCCGGTGAGCTCATCAGAAAAACTTTCCTGAATTTATTAATTATAAAGTTTCTTTAACTTTCTTTTACTCGTCAACTGTAGCATTAAGTTTCTGTAGATTAAGTTTCTAGATACCTTTAATCAACTTCATATAGATCTGTTCTTTTTCCCTGAACTACATAATATACTTAAACTTAAAAAGAAATAGATATATAGTTGAGATTTGGTAGAAAAAGAGAAGAAAAGAACTAATGCAAGTCAGTACAGAGAGTGCAGCGTAAAAGAATAGATTACCTGAACTGATATGGAACTGATTACTTCAGTCGATACTGCGTTAATATATCACGTATATGACGTATTTCAGATGTCGCGGAAGGTTTCATGCCGTGGTTAATGAAGGAAGTGAAGAAGGAAATGGGTAATATGATCGAAAGTCGAGAATTGTTAATGGGTGAGTCAGAATCAAGTGACAAGTTAGAAAAGAAATGTCCATATTGTTTGGTCTGTTTGGTCATAAAAGTTGATTAATACATTATAGAGGTCATCAGGGAGATCTTGGAAAATCGCGCACAAACCTATCGGCGGCTAGGTGAGGAATACGATGCCTCGAGAGACAAGAGACTAGTGAGCGAGGAAAGCGTGGAAGAGGGTGAAGTTGACAACAACTTCACGAATTATCAGTCACCGGCGATTGAAAACCATGATGCAATTTAGCGAGGTAAATTAATCCTCACATAACACACATGTTTTCAATACATTGGGGTCGCATTTGTCGTTTATTTACATTCTATAAACATGCTAATAAAAATCTATGAAATATAATAAATGTACTTTCTAGTAGAATAGAGAACTTTGTATAGAAATCAAAAATATTCACTTAAGTATTTAATTTTATTGCAAACATAAAGAGAAGCAACGAAAACATAAGTTTACATAAAAATTTGTAACTCTTTTGGAAATAAATTTAAAAAATTAACACTCTGGAATTCTTTTGTCAATACTTGAGTCTTTAAGAAAAAAATTATACATATTACAATTTGCCAAAAAGTATAATTATATGAGTATGCAAAAATACATCATCTCTTTCAGTCACAAGAAGTAAATTATCAATAGTAAAATTATCAATAGTTTCATGTTTTTGCGGTATTAATCCATTACATACACAATGATTTATTAAAATTATTACAAAGATTAGTTATATCTGAATCTTTTTTTAATTAAAGTTTGCAACTTTAACAAGAAAAAAACAGAGTTTATCTTTAACATTATCGCGCTATTTAATAGGCGTTAATCACGCGTCTCGACTGAAAAACGAGCATGCCATAGTTAACTTTGGATTTAGGGATTCACCTTCGACCAGCACAGGACCAATCTCCGAGCCCGGTGCCTTTTACATTAAGCAGTGTACACAGCTGCGCGACAAATCCATCTCCTCCGCCCGAACCCCATGACAGGTCAGCGCCGTGTTGGCGATCCCCATAGCAAACAGTAACCACCGCAAACGAACGAGAAAGACCCATCAGAAATTAATTATCGATTCTCGAAGTCAGCGCGGCGTAATCTGTCATAAGCAAGATGTAGTGGAAAAAATAACTTTTCCTAGAGCAATATTTCTCCCACAAAATAGAGAGTTTCCTCATATCTTCCTATACTCATACATTTTTATTGCACAATATTTCTAATAAATTATTTTTACGATAGACATGATGTTAATAACTTATTGCTTATTTGTTTACAGTTTTCAATCTGGCTTGCGAATGCATAACGTTGCACAACGTTTTCAAGACGGATTAAAAAGCTGATTACATTCTAAAATATAATTTGTGGTTTATTTATAGCCAGTCCAAAGGAATAATCCAAATTTAGTATATATAAAATAAATAAAAATATAAAAAAATTTTATATTTAAAACATATTTTTCCCAAATCTCTTTTCTGAATTATTTCCAGCTATTAAACTGTGACACACATATTACTCTATTTCTCTCTCTCTCTCTCTCTCTCTCTCTCTCTCTCTCTCTCTCTCTGTCTGTCTCTAACGAAACTTTAAAACGGATTGTTTCCTGGTTAATGAATGATAATTCGTGGAATATCTTCTAACCCACATAGACAAGCTGCCGCAGCTGGCAGTATTTTTCTTAAGTCAAAAATACAAATATAGCAGGATCCCGTTAAAACAAGATTTCTATTTCTCTAGAGTACTATTTCAAACAATGAAAATGTTTCAATACTAGTATCTAACACTGTAAGTTAAAATAATTGTATCAATAATAGCAATAAATAATTTTTTTGTAATATATAAATAAAAAATATATATATTGAAACAAATATTTTTCTCGAAATATGATCATGAATAATACATATTTAAGATTGGTAAAACTGTTGTTTATCATAAAAATTAAATTGTATTGTAATAAATGCTGAAAAGTTAACGTTTCTGATATCCATTCCTGGATACCGGTATATCGCAGGAGTAAAAAACCTGTCCGCTCCAATCAGTATTAGATCAATCATAATAGGATGAGGTTTCATGGTGAGTTGAGATCGCGCGCGGCACAGTTTTAAAAAGCCACCCACCCGGTTTAACTCGCCCCTCGCGTGATAGCGGAGTAAGGGAAGGGGACATATTGTATTGGATTAAATTAAGCAAGGGGTACGTACCCAGCATTATATGCACAAAACTTGTGTGCCAAGTGATTCGTGTTCTTCGGGTGGACAGGGAGGTAATCCACCTCATGAAGGGTGAAGAGAGATGAAAGATGTCCGATGCAACGGGACCGATATGCCGCGAGGGATCCAACCTTATTTTGTCATGTGAGTTGTATCACCTGCAGATGCACGTGATTTTTTTCCCTTCGAATATAACACGTGCAAATTTGCGGAATTTTCGCTTCAAAATTGCACAAAATGAAAATGTAGGTCCGCGCACTCTTCCGAGCAAAACACATCACACTTATACGTCATGACTTATGGAAATTAATATTTACGTGATCTTATTATTCTTGCATCAATACATAATATAGGACAAATCACGAAAATTTTATTGATGCAAAGTCGCAAAATTTTACGCACGTCCACGCTCTGCCCGCCCGTTTAAGTGAGAATAAAACACTGACATATTTTAATGTTTACTCGTTGACAATAGTGGACTGTATTGACTCTTAAAATCAAGTAAACAGTTCATAATGGTTAAATACTGGCTTAATCACGGAACATGGATCGCCGGGGATGGAGGATATCCATGGGGCATACGTTAGTCACGTGTCATGTTACATGGCACTCGTTTCTGCAGGGCACGAGCAATATGTTGACGGCACGTGCGCCGCGGAAGTGCACTTTAACTTCTCTCGCATAGAATGCACCATAGAAATATTTGCAATTCCTTGAAAATATATAAAAAGTAAATATATAAAGAATCAGCTTAAATTAATTTTTAAATGTAATAATTTATTTTCTTTCTTTGCAGAAAAAGAAATTCTACATATAAAAAAATATGTAACACTAATAATAACTTTATAACATTTCTTGTAATTATAATCATTCTAATAATTCTGATAATTAATGATATACAATAGATGACATATATATATATATATATATATATATATATATATATATATATAAATCTATATATAAATACTTATATATATATATATATATATATATATATATATATATATATATAAAATAGCATATTAGATATACAAGAATATACAAGAGACTGAGAAAAATTGCAAAGAAAACTTGTTAATCGTATTTTCAAATGAACGATAAATTGTCAGTGGCGAATATTCGCAAAAGATATCAATAATACATAAGCCACCGTCTCGCGCAAGACAGCATTAGGGAGACTTTCGACACTTGCAGAACCGAGACGAATTACCTTTATAGCCACCTCCCCGCAAAGGCGACCATAATTCAGGCTTCGCTCCGTAGCATCTACCGCGATTGCGTTATACAGAATAGAGGGACGCAGCACAATGAGATTTGTTCCGTCTCTCCCGTGGCTAAAGGATCCAAGTCCGCGCATCCCCTCTACCAGCGCTGGCAATCCAAGTTCGACACGCGCGCGACATCGTGTCCTCGGGATTTGAAATGTATGCAAACGTGCACTCATCGATAACGACGATATAATACAGAAAGCTCATGACGTGATGCAGTTATATTAACTAGGCATCTGCGTCGACGGGCGATTTATTTTCTTTAGAAGTAGCTTTACATTTTGATACATAAACCGAGTGTTTATTCGTAAAAATCGAAACAAGAGAATATTACTGTATAAAACTAGCATCTAATACCTAATAATAATAATTATATATATATATATATATATATATATATATACACACATTTGTATAGAATCACGCATAATGAAGTATTAATAATACCAAAAAAAAAAGAACTCTAATTACAGAATAATATTTTCTGTAATTTCATATTCTAAGTAAAAATTCTTATCAAATCCAACTTTATTCCTGCAATGTCAGACTTGTAAATTAGATCTTTTCTTTTATCAATGTATTTTACGCTTATTGATACAGTATCATAATGAACAATTTTCCTTCCATATTATAAAGCTTTCCCGTTGTAAATACATGCAAATGCAAGTTTCTTGCTTGGACTTAATGATGCCGCGCACGGACGACACGCACTTGCGTCTCACCGTACACCGGCACACCCGGTGCTTGGTGCACGGCATGTACGCGAGTACAAGGTGGAGGGTGCTTTCGCGTAGGCTTATTTTGAGCATCCCACCGAGGGTGCAACGATAATACGTAGATGATAATCGCGATATTAATATCGCATTGGGAAGCGCACACATGCGTGCAAAGGGCCCATTGGTCACGGCGGAACACTTGCTCGCTTGCTGGCTCGCGGTTGTCTGAATTGCACCCTGATTTTAGAAAGAGACGACAAGAGGGTACAACCCTCTGCCAGGATGCGGGCGAAAGGCGAAATTTATCAATAAGCAGCGATAAAGGTGAGTGTAATGTCACTAACATTTCATGTGATAGCATTTGTTAAAAAAGAAAGAAGAAAAGAATCATTACTTATGAAATTGAATGTCTAAAGCTTTTCTTTAATAATACTTTACAACTATCTAATTTACTAAGTTACCTAAAATATATTAAGAAAAGGTCATAAATTAATTGTATGCGTAATGTCGAAAAATTTTATAAATTTAGCATTGTCTTTTGTCCGCCAAGAAAGAGTTTTCCCGATATCCTATTGACTAGGTTAGAACCTTTCGCTCTTCTGTTTACTACCCACGAACTATACAAGGGGCTCGAACACTTGCCGTGCACATTTAAGCGCAAAGATTGGGGCACAAAAGAATGGCGAAACACTCGCGCTCGAGTTTCTAGAGACCAGAGAGGGGTTAATGTGTAAGGGATGGTGCGGCTTGTGAACACTCGTGTCATTCCCTGGTCCAACCATACATGCGGATGAATCACGTCAGCCATGGAAGAAGTTCGCAACCATGCTTCTCTTCTGGTTCCTTTTGAGGGACCAGAATTTGACGAATTTTAGTAGAGTTATATAGTTGTAAAGCAAAATATTATAATGTTACATTTTCCTTTATCCTTGTTAAAGTTTATTTATAAAAAATTTTGTTATATATATATTTCTACACTAAGAGAAAAAATATATATTATAATATAAAAAATAATAAATAATTATATAAAAATAATTATATAAAAAATAAATATTTATTTTAGAGTATTAGTAACATATTTATTTAAATCTAAATTCTTCTACACTCGAATAAAATAAATAATTGCTTTTATGAAAAATTCAGATTTTAAGAAAATGTATATTTTCTTATTTAAACAAAATTTTATATCGATATATAAGTATGTTATTAGTAATAAATATTTTTTACTTTTTAAATATTTTTCCTCTTATGTGAAGTTAGAAGCACTTCGCGTCGACTATACTTTCGCCAATTTCTATCAAAATAACATTCTGTCAAACACTTAAAAATTTAGAAACTATTTTGCGTTTGGCTCTAAAAAATATGTCAGTGCTCGCGTTGTTTGGTTAATTCTTACGAATTACTTGATAATATAATTGATTTTATAAAAATCGAAAACAACGGAGTTATAATTGTTTATTTGTCTATTCATGAAATAGGAATTTTCTCGCAAAATCTGCCAATCTGATATGTTCTTATCTATATTCAACTTTACTCAACCACTTTATCACATGCGCGATTAATCATATCGTTGAAAGCGAGAAGTGTGTTGCTATTAACGAAAAGCATTTTACACGATAATTCATCTCACGTACGACAAAAAAGAGAGAGAAAGAAAGAAAGAAAGAGATACGCGTTGGCAGGATCATGCTGGGTGCATCAAGATCATCGAAAGATTAGGCAAATCTGGACGATATCGCGTCCACGTGATCGACGCTCGAGCCGTCGAGAAGAATGAGCCACTTAATTTCCTAATCAACCGTTGATTCAGATGCACCTTTCGGCCGATCCCTCGTACTCGTACAGAGACGTGCAGTGGGCCGCAGCTGAGCCAAACAATGTCTTTTCACATGAGGCTTTTATAGCCCCATCGAGCGTACTAAAGTTCGTTCCTGATCGTGTCCTGCCAACCCGCGAATCCCGCCCGCGTCTGTATCAAGATCGTATATACGGAAGCCGAATTTCGTACTGATAGAGCGACCGAGATCAAGACGTGCGACATCGTTTTTATTCGAATGAACTGTTATTTTAAACATATATAAGCGAATAGCATATAAAAAGAATTTTATTGACAGCTTTAGTTTTTATTGTTTCCCTTTATTTCTTCGAGCATCACCCTCAAAATAGTAAAATTATTAATGTTAAGTTGCAATATATATATATATATATATATATATATATATATATATAATAATAGATATATATTATATATATAAATAATCAAATGCATAAGGTGCATAAGGGTCCATTTAAAACTACATATTGATAGTCATGTGCGTCTTATATTTGTTGATTGGTAAGACATTTTTTATGCATGACATTAAAATTCGTTTATATATATGACATTAATATTCGTTTATAGCACGACGTATTTATTATGACACCTAATATTAGATGGTAGTTTTTTATACTAATATATCTATATAAAACGTATCCACCAGTTACAAATTAAATATATAACCGTGAGACAGTGAATGAAATCAGCTAATGAATACATGCTTCGCAAATTGCATTTATTTATCCTATATTTAATGACCCAAACTTGAGTTAAGCAATATAATAGTCAATAGAAATCAGCATATGATGCATGTTCCTAACCCAAAAAATAGATGGCAGTACTGTTTTTCCTAGCTAGGTGCATAGCAAAGAATGCACCTTACCACAGCACGTGGCGAATCTCTAACAGCTACCCTAAGTCTCCTCCCACCCTGCATGGTTGGGCCACCACTGGCGCGGCCCGACTCTAAATACAATTACACTTCACAAGGTAGTAGAAGACTTGCGCAGAAGAGAGTGGTACTGGCTCTCTTCATCCGCCTCTTCATAGCCAATTTGACATAGACACGGGACAGTACGTACTTAGAGCATGCACGATATGCATCTCTACATCGGTTAACATCTTAATGTCTCGCCGCGTCTTCCTAACTGTCCAATTCAAATTTTTCGGAAATAAATTTGTAACACGGATGAATTTGTGTAATTGTTTGTTTTCCGTTACGCAACTGTAAGTTTACTGCAGTGTATTTTAAACAAATTTCATCTGGCCGCGGCTAGTATAAGGCCGTTCTCGCGCGTTGTGAAGTTTTGTAGTTTAATTTTTATCTTATCAATGCTTCCAACGTGGTCAAGAAAACATCGCCATTTCTCTGGTGTAACTTTCGGAAGTGCGTCCTCTGAAGAAAAGTCTAAGACAAAGAGAAGCAGAGAGGATGATACTACAGAAAATATTCATGCGCAAGCAATCACTATCCCGAGGATATATCCTGTAGTGCCACAAAACGCGTTAATAGAAGTCGAAAAGTTAGGAGAAACCTACCTGCCACAAGGATACAACAACTTTATATCATCTATCCTGTGTACAACGATCGTTCGAGCAGGTGCAAATCTTAGCAAAAATTCTTCGACAGAAGTCATCGATGTCAATATATTGGCACAAAGAAGCGTGTCTGTCACCGAACACGTATGTAGCAAAAATATTTATATCCTGCATGATCCATTCCTCGAGACTTAGTGACAAAATTTAAGCTTGTATCTGAGCCTTGATTTATTTTAACTTAATTATTTAATAAAAAAAAATGTTAATTGTTGTTCATATTATCGTATATGTATGTATATATATATATATATATATATATATATATATATATATATAGATTCTTTCGATTGTAAACGATCAATGACTGTAACGGACATTAACATGTCTGAAAATAAACTAAAAATTTAAGATTGAGATCGCAGAAACTGGAGGTCGACTTTATTGCGTTAATGGATTTACAAATACACCCTGCTGGCTGAAGTCGATCGATATAGCGCAAGATATTTCCACATGTAACGTTAAACTCACTAGTACTAAAGAAGGAATATTTGTAAAGGAAGGAGTATTTTTGAAAACTGTCAGAAACATAAAGGCAGGAGAGTCGTTACAAATGTGGTTCACTGAAGAAGTTTTGCTCATGTCAAATATACCGTTTTTACTGCCGATGAATATTCGAGGTAAGATAAAAGTTATTAAATTTAGTTAAATTCTCGTAGCTTCAATCGTATAAATTATTAATTTTACGATACTTCGCCAATTTCCTGGCGACTATTAAAATATATCTTCTCATGACTATCTAACGACTTTATAGTAACTATCAATATTGAAGATAATATCTCTATTAATCCAAATCTTGAAACTAATTAATGTTAAATGTTCGCAGGTAACAAAAACTATATATGTCACGTTTGTGGCAAAATTTTCGAGTACCCGAATCCGTTAAAATTGCATATAGCGTTAAATTGTAACCTATTGGACAAAACTGATATCTGGACGTTCCTGGCGAAGGGATTCGCTACTTTGGACTCTTCGAAAATGTGCGTAACTAGCAGTCTGTACCCACAAACAAGCTTCACATTCGAACTGACCAACCCCACGGTAACGTTGCCGGTCAACGTGTTCTCGCCGATTCTCGCGGAAACGATGTACACTGGAGAGTCATTAAGGAACGATTCACCGTGTTCGAATCAACCGTCGCCTTTGTCCTTGAGCCAGTTTTCCTCGAGCTCATCTTCTTCCGCGACCTCGCCAAGTTTGCTAGATAGGATGGCGCCCGCGGAAGAACTGATATCAAGACATTCTGCCTTTAAACCTTACGTGTCTCGGCAGAAAGTCTGCAAAAGATTGACATCCTACAACATGCATTTACCTACGGTGACATCTTTGGAAAGTGATGCGCTCGCTGTAGATATGGAGACGATCGTCAGTAACGCAGGCAAATCCAAGGAGGGCCATCGTTGCATTTACTGTGGCAAACTCTACTCAAGGAAATACGGACTGAAGATACACATCAGAACACATACCGGCTATAAACCGTTGAAATGTCCGTTTTGCGAACGTGCTTTTGGAGATCCTAGCAACCTCAACAAACATGTCAGACTGCATACCGATGGCGACACCCCTTATAAATGCAGTATATGCGGCAAGGTAATGGTCAGAAGAAGGGACTTGGAAAGGCACTTGAGATCGAGGCACCAACGGGAGCAAACTGAGAATGCTTCGGAGGAGTCTACCAACGTAATTGACATATAAGCATTAGATTTATGGTGATGTTTACTTGCACCCATAAATTTGTTGCGCATCTTAAGCCAGCAACACACGATATTTGTTTTCGTGCTGAATTGCTTGCTGGATGAAAATACTCTGTTTTGATTGGTGCATTTCCAACCATCTTCAGAAATACACTAATCAGAACAGAATATTTCCACCCAGCAAGCAAACCAGTATAAAAACAAGCATCGTGTGCCGCTGGCTTTACGGTTCTTTTTCATGCTAAGGTGCCTTCACTTACAAATTAATCTTTTCGACAATAACAGTTATTAATAGGGTAAAGATAACATCAAATAATTTGTAATATTATCATCTTAGATGTAAGAAAGAAATGCTATGTTCTTTCTTACCATTGGCCTTTTAATTAAGTACTCTCAATTAAATAACAATTTTGTAGAAACTTTACAAAGCTGTTAACCAGAAATCAATTTTCTCATGTACAAAAGTTATCTTTATAAGATATATTGTTATTATAAAATATATGTGTAAAGATCTGTATAATATAATAATAAAATTGTTAACTCTCTTGAAAATATGCCCAACAGATATGTAATTTCCTCACTAATCAAATTTAGAAAAAAAAAGTATAATCTTTTTCTGGTTATGATGTAATAATCGAATTATTCGTTTTACTCTATCTTACTCATAGCACAGAATAGAACCACGAAATCGTGAACATTGGCTATGTAGTTCATCTGCACGTTTTGTGTACATAGAGGCATAGAGGCATTGCATCGCTGCCTAAAAACAGTAACAGCTAGAGTCACTCTAATCAGAGTTTGGCCACAACGCGCGGTTTCGTCAAGACCCTGCGAGAAAGAGAGACACATGTTCAATCTCTTTGTTTATCTTTCCTTAACCTAACATAATATACTGCCATAGACGTACTGTGATTGGATACTGTGTGGGATTTGACGAAACATAGCGGACCAATCAGAAGTGAGACGAAATAAAGACGATTGCTGTAAAAAGAAAGTATATCGATTCACTTTTAGTGTAATGTTCACCCGTCGGATATCTCGTGATCGCGCGGTTCGACGGTAAATCCGATGTAATTTTGTAAAAGAGAGAGAGAGAGAAAGAAAGAGCACAAAGATAGAGAAGAAAATTGCAATTCGCCTTAATGCGACACGTGCTACTTCATGATCGCAGTTGCAGTCGACCCGACAATTTTCTTTCAGTGACAACAATGTCCTGTGCGGAGGGACGTGTGAATCAACGTGAAAAAAAAGAAATAGTAGCGGCGCTTCGCGACATTATTTTACGACAAATATGCGTGGACGTGCAATCACCGAAGCACCGGACACTCATTTGTTATGCGTGCGTGCGCGTCGTTGTGACTTCAAGGGGACGCCGTACTTGGAAACCTTACCGACGGAATATCGGTTTTTCTTTGCAAAGTTTACATTGTATCAATTGCACATAATTACAAGTGCTTTTGCGCCATGAAAATACGTGTAAAAATGAATCGAAGCATTGCTCGATATGTGATGAAAATGATAAGAAATTTTTTAGTTGACACACTTTCGAGTTAACTTCAGTAAATGACGAGGCTGCATTCTCTCGTATCGTTTCTCCTATTTTCGCTTTCTTTCTTTCCTCTTTTCTACATTATTCATTTGCTCAAGACGCGAGATGCAATTCACACCAAGTGATCTAAGGTGTTTAAAGGAGGAGCACGTAGATCGTAATCGTGAACTTCATAAGGGTGTAGCGCTTTTAACGAGGAAGCTATTAAGACTCTAAAAGAGGGACCATAAAGCTGAACTTTTGGGAGAAACGGCGCGAATTTACACACCGCGATCGTACACACATCATTCAACTGTATCCCCGTAGACGAGCAATTAGAGAACGTTTACGTTCGTCGTCGTGTTCTTACGCGTGCCGTTTGTGGCGCTGAGTTTGATCGTCCGCGGCTTCAAATCAAGTTAATCGAAGTTACCTTCTCTGCTTCTCTCCTTTTCATCTCGCTTATTCGTCGTCTGTGCGACGAACGAGTCAGGGATGTTAGTCAGGAGACGAGGATCACACGGGTGACGTAAGGCGTTAAATGTGGGCACGCGAACACGAGACTCTCACGACGATCCTTTGCCAAATATATTTTTTATTCTATCTTATGGCCAAACTCTGATTATAGGATCTCTAGTAACAGCTAAATCGCGCGCGAGCTTGCTCTTAATCCCGATCTACAATAGGTGATTTAAGCCCTAAGCTTTAAAAAATTGACCAATTACAGTCAAATTTGAAGAGAATAATCTACTGTAATCGGTCAATTTCTTAAGGCTTAAAGCTTACTAAATCTATTGTAGATCGGGATTTAGACTTCTCTCTGATTTACGTCAGTATAAAAATATATCCTCCGAGTACATGTGCCTAATAATAGAGAGAAGCTTGAGAGCGGCCACGCCATACGTTTTGACCGACACCGATTTTCACGCTGGTTCGACACGCCATCTGCACCCATTTTTGAGTGGAACTACGTTCCTTACATCTATCTTCAGACGCTGCCGGTAAAGTGTAGATTTGGTGCGTGTCTATTCTACGCCCATTTTCTGGCGATTCGTGTCCGTGCTAAGTGCATAATTGCGTGGTTAAAGGGATGCTGAAGCTGAAAACTTTACCAACAGAACGCTGATATGTTTTTGAAAAGTTTACGTTGTATTGGTTACACAGAATTACAAATGCTTTTACAATGCAATGAAAGTACGTGCAAAAATAAATAGGAGCATTGCTCGATATGTGACGAAAACGAATGAAAAATTTTTAATGTAAAATCTCAAGATGTCAGCGTAATATTTGCCTAATCCAAAAGTTCCGCAGCTTATATATTCTGAAAGTGTGAATGCTTCAAACAGAAAAATTTTAAAGAACATTGCTCTACTTTCGCATCTGCATTTGGAAGTTTAAAAATATCGAAAAAGTTTACAGAAAGATTTCTACACATATATAGTTAGGTTTTTCGTTGAATATGGTAAAACAAAGCAATACATATTCATGTAAATTTTGTATATACAAGAAATACAAAAAGGATAGCGTGATTATGTTAGTGACGATCGTCTCTGCATTATCGACATTGTTCGAGTTCGTCATAGACTCCAGCATCCCTTTAAGAACATGGACAGTCCATGTAGATGAAAGATATAGTGAGGAAAATAGTTCAGATAAGAATGAAGAAGCTGGGACTATAGAAATTATTAAAGAACATGGAAATGACAGAGGAAATACTCAGGATTCTAAAGACATGTTTACTGTTAAAGATGAATTAGTGGCAATAGATAATCTATCAAAAATACTTGTTGAAGTAACAAGTGAAAACAGTCAATGTGAAAATGGAACGTGACGATACATATTAATATTTCAGTTTGATTTAAAATTTCATAACACATTTGTAACCAGTGAGTTTAATTCTACAATTAGACAATATGCTATATCACACATACAGCTGTGGTACAATACAAATTTCCTATTTACAATACAAATTTTCTATTATATTTTATCTTTAAATAAGAAACTAAAATAATTTATCAAAATGTAATATTAAAAATATAATTTCTATTATAAATTCTCTTTCTATTAAATGTTAATATAATATAATGTTAATATAAATTTAAACATACAATATTAATATAATAAAAATATTAGTATAATTAAATATTACTTATAAAAATAACACCACGATAATTAGTGCAAAGAATACTTGTCATTTTTCATTTCTTTTTTTTTTATTAATTTTTATTAACTTATATTGTAGGTGTCATATCTAAATTGTCATAGCGATTAGTTTTTTCAAATATATATGCCAAGGATTGAACAATTTGACAATTTTTTACATTTAGGGTATTCTTCTAGAGTATTGTTGCTCCAATTGTATTCTTGCTTTAATTAAATCCCCTATTTTTTCAGGTAGCACAGTTTCCTGCAACATAACACTCGATGAATATACGTGTGTGTGTGTGTGTGCGTGTGTGTATAATTTATTTTTAAGGCTATTATTTTAATAATAATCTTTTGTATTTCATGTTATACGGGCTATACCTGGTACTTTTTCATGAGATTAGAAATTTCCTTCACATAATCGTTAATTTCCATCCAAAGATCTTGCAACTCGGTTTCTTCTGTGCAAGCGGCAACGCGACAGAAAGTAAGACACAGTTAAAAAATACATTTTGTATTTAGTTACACGAACGACAAGATAAAAAATAATGCACAGTGTCAGCGAGTATACTCACTCGTTCAATCAGCGCGTCTTGATGCGAATATTCTACATAGCTCGGAACGTGCTGAACAATTTCAAAAATTGATATGACGCTTCTCCATAATGTCATGGTATATTCGCCATAATTATTACATGAGGACAATGCGGCGTTAGTGCGGACTTTGAAATTAATACTGTGACATATCAAATTAATGAGCACTGAAAATACTTGAACCTACAAAAATATCCACATTTATATCTTAACAAAATAAATTCCTTCGTTAATATATTTTAAAGTATGTACGTACATTTCAAGAAGGTGGCAATATCGAGTCTGGATTGTGACCCAAAACTAATTCTACAACTCGGCAAGCATTCCATCGTACTTAACATAAATAAATATAAGATTCATCTAACAAGGAATACTTATTTATTGCAACCAGACTTTCTCTGGCGCATGGATGGAGAATCAGTTCTAATACAAAACAGCTTTAGTTACAAGTCACTTGTATTTCATAAAAGATTGGAAGAATTATATCGAAACTTACTTTCATGTCATTTCCTGCGCAATTAATGAACGCATCTAATCCTAATGCCGGGTCGAAAAGTATATGGCCGTCCGACCATAGATATAAAATTGTTCCAATCGCTCTAACAGCATTGCATTTCGCTTTGTTGTCCTTTGCAGCTTTGACTCACACTTGATATAATTTGAGTATTAGAATCTCTAAAGAAAACGGTCCTCTCCCTTCGTACTGCTTGGAAAATATATATCCATATAGACAGAACATATGACGCAAAGAGAGCACATATTCATATCAAATGAAAAAAATGTGAAAAAACTTTTACCTGGAAAGGCAGTCACATAGGTTGGCTCAAGCACTTTTTACACGAACACCAAGAATCTTGTCGTCGAAGGCCATACAAACCATGTCAGATCTAAGATATAATATCAGAATATGAATATCAGCCTTACTAATAATATTAAGAGCATGCACTTAAAAATATCTAACAATTAGTCGTATACATTTTCAATATTAGTCATAAATAAAACATAGATAAAATACTCACACTTTGCTCGAATTTCAGCAGGTAAGCAATAAAAAAATTTGAAACGCATAATAATATTCTCGTGCTGAAATAAGTCATTGTGGCGCAAACTGTATTTCCGTCCGATCACGCGTTCTCGAGCAATCAACCTCGAAAGATTGTCAGGTGTCAAAAAAGTGAGATTTCAGGTGTGCGAAAAAAATTTTGAAACGAATGATAATATTCTCCTGCCGAAATAAGTCTTCGCGGCGCAAACCGTATTTCCGTCCGATCACGCGTTCTCGAGCAATCAACCTCGAAAGATTGTCAGGTGTCAAAAAAGTGAGATTTCAGGTGTGCGAAAAAAATTTTGAAACGAATGATAATATTCTCCTGCCGAAATAAGTCTTCGCGGCGCAAACCGTATTTCCGTCCGATCACGCATTCTCGAGCAATCAGCCCCGAAAGATTGTCAGGTGTCAAAAAAGTAAGATTCCAGGTGTGCGAAAAAAGAATTTGAAACGCATGATAATATTCTCCTGCCGAAACAAGTCTTCGTGGCGCAAACCGTATTTCCGTCCGATCACGCATTCTCGGGCAATCAGCCCCGAAAGATTGTCAGGTGTCAAAAAAGTGAGATTTCAGGTGTGCGAAAAAAAATTTTGAAACACATGATCATATTCTCCTGCCGAAATAAGTCTTCGCGGCGCAAACCGTATTTCCGTCCGATCACGCATTCTCGGGCAATCAGCCCCGAAATATTGTCAGGTGTCAAAAAAATAAGATTCCAGGTGTGCGGAAAAATTATTTGAAACACATGAAAATATTCTCCTGCCGAAACAAGTCTTCGCGGCGCAAACCGTATTTCCGTCCGATCACGCATTCTCGAGCAATCAGCCCCGAAATATTGTCAGGTGTCAAAAAAATAAGATTCCAGGTGTGCGGAAAAATTATTTGAAACACATGAAAATATTCTCCTGCCGAAACAAGTCTTCGCGGCGCAAACCGTATTTCCGTCCGATCACGCATTCTCGAGCAATCAGCCCCGAAATATTGTCAGGTGTCAAAAAAATAAGATTCCAGGTGTGCGGAAAAATTATTTGAAACACATGAAAATATTCTCCTGCCGAAACAAGTCTTCGCGGCGCAAACCGTATTTCCGTCCGATCACGCATTCTCGAGCAATCAGCCCCGAAATATTGTCAGGTGTCAAAAAAATAAGATTCCAGGTGTGCGGAAAAATTATTTGAAACACATGAAAATATTCTCCTGCCGAAACAAGTCTTCGCGGCGCAAACCGTATTTCCGTCCGATCACGCGTTCACGAATAATAAGCCCCAAAGCTTATATAACTTTGTCTTACTTTTTTATAGATCCTCCTCTTGACTTCTTGATCGAGTATTGTGACACACCATTTATTCACTTGTTGCATTACACTGATATTGACTTTTATTGACTCTTACACTGACACTATCACTGACACAAAATTTGCCATCCTAACTTCTGGCTGCTTTATTGTGGCACTTCTTATATTTTCTTGAGGCTTAATATTGCTCCTTCAATTGACACTGACACTGACACTGATACTGCCATCCTGGATGCTTGTCGTAGCATTTCAAATATTTATTTAGGGTTTTAATCTTGAAGTGGATGTTTACACTATCACTGAAACTATCACTGACACTAATATTACCATCCTGATTTTTGGCTGCTTTATCGTTGCACTTCAAATATTCACTAGGGACTTTAACTTTAAAATTAGTCCTTGTACTATCACTGACACTGATTCTATGTCCTGACAGCTTCGTCGTAGCACTCCAAATATTCTATAACTTGAGGCTTTAATCCCGAAGTAAGCCCTTGCATTATCACCGAAACTGACACTAGCACTGACACTGACGGTCTGTTCTTTTCAGTTGCCCTGTTGGTAATTATGAAGTTTAGCACCACCACCTCCGATTTTGACGAAACTAGGCTCAATCGACGCGTTTTTAAAAAAAAAAACAACTTTTTTCTCTAACAAAATCGTCGCTCTCTACTACGAAGCGAGATATTAATAGACAAATCTGAGTGCGTGTTAGAAAATCTGTCATACCGTCTATCTCTAGCTGTGAGACTGAAGGGCTTTGTCCCACACCGTGGCGGGATGGGAGTTGGTCTCATGTGCTTAAGCTAAAGATTGAATTTCTCACAAAAGACTGTGACTCCCACCCCGCCGCGGTGCGGGGGGTCTGGGAGGCGAAACCCCCCAGTCACATAGCTAGAAAAATTAAAGAAGCTTTAAACCCATGCCAAAGAAATAATACACTCAATAGAAACACAAATTTTTTTTGGTAATTATACAGAATAACGGACCACTCTCCGATTACCTTGACCTTGACATTTGTTGTAGAGGTCACCCTCCTGAATAACTCTCAGAAGGTTTTAGCCGTCGCTCATTATTTATTAAAAAGTTATTGATGAAAGAAGTTCGAAAAATATATTACAATTTTTCGACACTGTGTACCGTTAACGAGCAATATTGAATAATAACTGCAATATCGAACGACTAGCCGCGCCCTCTTCAAAACTTATCTAATCCAACCTATCGTCACATTAACACAAAAGTTGAACACTTTAATAAACAATAACTGATGCTTAATGTGACGATAGGTTGGGTTAGTTTAGTTTTTAGGGGGGTGCGGGGGGCGTAGCCCCCCGCTAGTCGTTCGAGATTGCAGTACTTACTAATGAAAGACTGTCGTATCATTTTCGGAGTGACAGATTTCCTAACCTAGTGAGCTCTTAACTTAAACGCTAAATATCTCGCTTCGTAGAAGAGAGCGACGATTTTGTTAGAGGAAAAAGTTGTTTCTTTTTAAAAAACGCGTCGATTGAGTCTAGTTTCGTCAAAATCGAAGGTGATGGTGCTAAACTTCATAATTACTGCACTATTGAAATGGTGCAATAAGATAAAGTAAGACAAGTATGTTTTCTCACTCTAACTTATTGCATCACTTCAGCAGTGCAATAAGTTACAATTGGTCTATTCTTTTCAGCTGCAATAAGTTAAAATGAAATAAAATGTATTAATCTCACTCTAACTTATTGCAGCAACGCAGCTGAAAAGAACAGACCTATTGACACTGATACTGCCATCCTGGCTCCTGGATATTTCATCGTGATCTTCAAATATTCACTTCTGATAAACATTGATGGGCGGAACGCGTGATACTTTTCTCGGAATTCCCGACTGCCCGTTCCACGCATATGGCTCCTGCACACAGGATAATGTTTGCTGCGCGGCAGAAGTTCGTGCTACAGCCAATTAATA